ACGTGGGTGCGTGCCCGCCGCTAGGCGTTGTGACACTCGTGCAAACGAAGCGGCTCACCTTGACTATCGGCTACCTAGGTAAGCAGCGCCACGCAGCACTGCCCATCAAGTCGGGAGAGCGGACCAACTTCATCTTGTGGTGTCGCAACTCGCAGCTCGAGTCGTCCGCTGCCGGCCACCGACGTGCCATCTGTCCCTCGTGGTGCGGATGGCACCGCATGTCTACGCAGTCATGATGAGCATGCAGTGAAACAACGCCGAGAGCGAAGATCAACGTTTCCGCTCCTTGTTGAAGAACTTCCTAAGCTCGCGGAGGAATGGAATCGTCGTGCGGGGAAGGGGTGAAGGGACCTGCCGGACCGGCAGGCGGTGGCGGCGGTGGCGTGCCGTGTGGCGGAGGGGAGTGGTGGAAAGGAGACTCTCCCGTGGGCGCCGCATGCTGCTTTTGCACGACCGCGTTCAGGTACCCGAGAGCCAGCGATGTCAACGTTTCGCACTGCATGAAGCCAAGCGATCGAACAGGTCCAGCACCACATTAGTCACCCACACATACTAAAAACAGAAAAGTTGGGAGGCATTAGATATACCTCGGCTTTGTACTTGGAGAGGGTGACGACGTCCTCCAGCCTTCGATTGAGGAAGGCCCAGGTGTCGGCAAAGTTGTCCGACGCGTCGGTGAGCATGAACAGCTCTGTGGAAGTGTACACGCCAGCCAATACGGCGCGCTTGGTGTACCAGTCAAACTGACAATCATAGTGGGCGCCACGCCATACAAACAGAGAGAAGAGGCGATGTGAGCTCAGGTGGACATCAGGCGCTAACTCAACGCACGTACATCGATAGTAGAGTCTCCGGCCACGTAGATAATGTCGTTGATGGTGTTGAACATCAGAGAGAAGGAGGTGCTGGCATTGCTCGGCTGTGCCAAGATTGCTATGGCCTGCGCGAAGTGTTCATTAGGGCACGGATTCGTTGGGGAGCGTGGGTAGGTTGGCACATACCTGCGGCCAGGTCGCGATGTGTGGCGCATACTGCCTCAATCGAGCGTGAATGGCCGCTCTTATTTTCTCCTTGAGCGTCATGTGCTCCATGTCTAGTGCGCTCAGCTCCTCCAGCATTCGAGCGTTGCATTTGGCGATGAAGTGCTCCACCAGCTCGACTGGGCCCTGTAGCATTCAGTGAGCATGTCATGCTAGAATCTGATCTACAAACAAATGGAGGGAATCGCCGTACGCGGCGGAAGAGGCCGTGCGCCAGGTTCGACAGACCCTGCTCAGCTGCTGCAAGCGAGAGGGCCTCAACCGTCCACCCGTACTTGGCTACCTGTGCCAGCGCCGCGTCGAGCACCTGCGTCCTGACCGCATCCGAAAAGCCTCCATCCCTGCGGCCCCGGGCACAACAAAATATGTAAAATTATGATTTCTTTTTAAATTAAAATTAAAACCATGAAAAATGAGGGAGGGGAACCTGTCTTCAAAGATCGCGTCCTCTTCCTCGGGCTGTCGGTACTGCTCCCCGTGTGACTCTGCAGAGGTGAAAAGGCCTCGCCAAAGGCCCGTGGTGCGGGCAAAGAAGGGGCGCCCCGAGCTCCGCAGCACACAGCCCCGCCCTCGTATACGCACGGCAGCAGATGCATCAGTGACCGAAAGTGGCTTCGCTGCATTTCTCCAGTATGCCGAGCGAGATGCCCCGCCTTGCCTCCACATCTGCCCGCTAACCGCACGCCTCATCTCGACAAAAAAATAAACAAATAAACAAAATATAAAAAAAATGCTTTTCTCAATTTGCTCGCGGAGACACTTGTGCTTATCCAGGTTCTGCTTGCCTTAGACTGGCATTGACTGCCTCGTCGAAGGTGCCAGGCATTTGGCTTCACTTGCAGCAGTTCGTGGTCGTATGGCAATGTTGCTCTTTGGCAGAAATAGTTCCCCTTACGGACTCACCCATGTCAGACATGCCTGCGCCATGTGATGACATGAAACAACAACGCTCAAAGTGCTAGGAAACCTTATTCGTCCACATTCCTCTTTTTGGTTCTTTGAACTAAACTCTGAAGACAAGACGAGAAGAAACAAAACACCACCCAGGGTCATTGTACAACAAAGGCTTGGAGGAGATTGACTGGGGGAGAGTTTCAATAACTCGCAACAAAGATGGACGGTACCCTCAAGGACCCGGAGGTGATCAAGCCTCCCCAGCTCGTGGCCGCCGAGTTCTCACGGGTAGCCGACAAGACCTACAAAATCACAGTACGCGCCACACTAAGCCAGTTCAGAGTTGGAAATTCGTCGATTGATCTGGATGGGGGTCTATACCTACAGAAGGAAAGCAAGGATCTACCGTACATGATCCAGTGCGAGGACGTGAACATCCTCGAGAACGCCAACTGGAAGGCCTTGTTTCAAGCGTTCAACGTTCTGTCGGCCGAGAGAGTCTTCCTGCTCACCATCACCGACGCTATACTCGATTGGCGACGTCAGGAGAAACAGACCAAGGACGACACCGACCTGGAGCAAGCGGTGAGTAGAGTGATTTGGCTCTTCCCCCCCAATCCTATTTCACCTCTGAGCCAGATCGATTGACCTATGATCGATTTTTCAGTTGGCGAGAGACTACATCTTCTTTCAGTCGGTGAGCGAGCTGTGCTTGGAGAAGTTCAATGCCGAGGACGTGCAAGTGGCGGCCCTGTTCGCTATCTGCTGGGAGCACTATGAGCTCAAGGTGCCTGACGCGAACGACGCCAAGCTCGCCACCTACGTCTTGGCCGAGAACAAGAAGCACGTCACTGAGTTGTGCAACAACGTGCTCGCTCGCATCTACCCCTTCAGGTACCTGCAACAGGCATGCACACTTCGCTGTGAGCATGAGGTCTCACCTGTTCGCTCTTGTGCTTGTTCAGGTTCCTCGCCCGGCCTGACGAGCTGGACAAGCTGTTCCACCTGCAGATAGTGAAGAACAAGAAGAAGCTCGACAAGAAGAAGGAGGATGCGTTGATGTACTTCCTCATTCCACTGATCCACAACGACAGCGGCCTCAGCGATAAGAAGGGCTGGTCCGAGTTCCGTGAGAGCCTCGAGACTACCTTTGCACCTGTCGTTGGCTCCTGGAAGGACAAGAAGGGCGAGAAAAGGTAAGCCACAGCAAGATTGAATGGAGCAAAATCTAACACACATCCTTCTGCCGGCAGCTTGATCAAGTACGTAATCAAGACGATACTTCGATGCATGCAGCACACGCAAGAACTGCAAGGCCGTTGGAACGGCTGGCTCATCGATGCGAAGAAGCGCGTGGACCCTCTGGAAGCGCTGTGGCTGCTGACCAAGGCCCACATCAACGTCTTCACCACCACGGCCAGCGAATTCGGCAAGGAGAAGGTGGCCAAGAAGCTGGGGGAGCTCAAACCCGCCACAAACAAGCAACAGGCCTGCCTCCTCTACATCATCACCGAAATCGCGATCCGCGCCAAGGAACAGACCCTTTCCGTCAAGTGGGCTCTTGATCTCATCTACCTCTACATCGACAGTAAAGTGCCAAAGTGCGGCCTCCCCCTTTGTTAGTCGTTTATTATTTATTTGATTATGGTTTGGATTTATACTTCATTTTCTAATGTCTCCCGGGCAGATCAATCGAGACGGGCATACTTGCTGGCCGAGCTCTGGTTACGAGCAAGCACATCAGCCTATTGCCACAGGACCTCAACGCCATCCGCAAGAAGCTGCTCCATCTCCTCAACAACTCGAAGGAAGTGATTGGTACAGTGCCGCTCCCCAACGTTGCCGCTGCCCCCAAACTTTTTGTGCTCACCGTCCTCTCCCCTTGTACAGGCAACCCTCCCCTCCTGTCGGCATGCATACTGCTGGTGCCTGATGTACTGCTGCCGAACGACGACGAGATGGCGAGGAGCTTTACCCTTGTGTTATCCGATCATTTTGTCAATTCTGCTGATCAGGGTACACCCTAACCCAACGATGGCGGTGTGCGGCTCCTTGCTTACTGATTACCCCCTCCCCGATCAGGCGTCTCGTTCCGTGCCGGAAGGATGCTGTGTAAGATCCTGGCGGCGCACCCGAGCTTGCGACCGATGATTGTAGCGCAGGTGGCCGAGTTTACCGCCACCATGTGGCTCCAGCACGAAATGGACATCCACGACTCTAAGCTGGGCGGATCGTTGGACAAGGTGAGTGCCCATCGCCTTTGCATCAGCGGCAGCGAAACTCTGACTTTTAGCTCTCTCGCACTCCAGATGTGCCTCCTGCTCAAGAAGTGGGACGAAACCGAGCTCGACGGGCGAGACATCAAGGGTCCTGAGATGTGGATCAGCTTCGTTGAATCTCTGGCCTTGATCTTTGCCCTGTGCTCTCCTTCATCGTCGATCAGGTAACCTGCTCTGAGCTCGCAACGTTGCGCGAGTTGGATCTAACCCTTTCCGTCACACCGCAGGTCACGAGCACTGACCATCCTCGAACTGGCCCATCGACTGTCGCCACGATTCTACGGACGAACGGGCAAGGACAAAGAGAGGAGGAAGAGGGTCATTGAAGTGTTCTTCCAGGAGTATCACCGGCGCGAGGCCCTTGGCCCGACCACGGACTACGCTCCACCGACGACGAGCATGCTCGAGTCCTGGCTGAACGGCCTATGCAAGGAGGTCGAGACGTCCAAATACGAAAACTGGGCTGAAATCATCACCATCGTGCTCAAGAACTGCCAGCACCCGCTCTTCGTCTCTTGGAACTTGGTGCGTGTAGGCGAGTGCCTTTTTCCTCGTCCGAGGGCTCATACATCCTCACCTCATAACAGGTGGCGCTCAAGATCGAGAAGTGTCTGGCCAGCAAGACCGGCGCCGAGCACTCCATCAAGGAGAACATGTGGTGGAAGAGCCTCATCGTATTCTCTTGCGTCAGCGCAGGTATGTAGTCCTTGCGTTATGGATGCAATGTGCATGACACTCACTATCTCCCCACAGACGCCGAGGCCACGCAGACCAAGAACAACTTCCTCAACACCGTGGCCGAAAACAAGGTGTCCTTGACGACTCTGTTCGACCTCATACTGAAGGCCAAGGGCAATCAGTTCCCTCGTGACGTCGCCATTGCCGTACGCTCCCTCGATGACTTCTTCATACGCACTTATGCACCACCTGACACCCCTGGGACATTCAACAGGGACTCGGACGGCTGGCCCTCCACCCGCAAACGTACAAGACGCTGCATCAGTGCATCTCCGAAAGCAAGAAGCTGTGGAAAACGTCGATGATCGGGGCCATCTGCGCTTTTATTGCGGAGGAGCAGCTCAAAAAGATGACCGACATGAACACCTTCCGCGTGGCCATCAACATCTTGAAGGAATTCCTCGAGGCCACGGTACGTTCTCCCGCTCGCATTTGGCTACGCATGAGAAGACGCCAGACACTGACGCTTGCCTTACTGTCGTACAGCTCCCCGCGTTCCAAGTGGAAGAGGAGATCGACGGACAGGAACTCCTTTCAGGCATTACAAGCACTCAACGCTACTATTTCTGCAAAGTCGTTCATCACGCCTCCTGGCAGGCACATCTCCGTGAGGAGATCGCCTTTGAGCCGGTACGCTCTCATCTTGGGCTGCTTCTTGCGGGGGACGACCAACTACAAAGCTGATTCGGCGATCCGTCGCAGGTCGTGTGTGAGAGGCTGCTGCGATGCCTGATCAAGTGGTGCACCGACGAACAGTCCAAGTTCAAGCTGGACCTGAAGAAGGAGGAGAAGGAGTGGAGCAGGCCAGGCACCCTGACGAGCTACATCAATGGCGAGATCGCCACTCTTCACACGTCCGCATCGCAAGCCGCAGCCTACCTGCTGTGCCAAAAATTCGAGGACAAGATGCACATGAACCCGAAGGGAGGCATCAGTGGCTCGTCCATCATCCAGCACCTCGACGGAGACATCAAGCACTACAACCCTGATGTGAGTCTGACCCACCTCGACCTTGTACCGGTCCGATTCTGACCTCCCCCCCTTTTTTTCTGTTGTGTGCGCCAGATATTTGCTGCGGCGTGTTTGGGAATGAAGCACTTTATCGTGCTCAACTGCGGCGGCATCTTCAATGACAAGGCGTCCGACGGCGGTAAAGTGTTCACCGAACTCGTAAATAAGGTACACGGCTTGCCTGGTTGGCTTCGGTCTCACTCCTGCTGAATCCGTTGCCTTCTTGCTCGGCGTGGTGGTGCCCGCTGCAGTGTTACGATTCCCATCTTCAAGTTGCGGAAGGCTACTTCGACGCTCTGGTCCATTCGTGCCAGGCGACGGAACCGGCGCACTACCCCAGGCAAGAGCCCACAGTCGTCCAGACGCTGCTCTACCTGGCCTTCTACAAGGTTTCTCTTTTCTCTTTCAAAGTACTGGCTCCGTCTTGGTGCTCACCACAGAAAAATCATGATGTTGGGACACAGCTGGCGGATGGCAAGGTCGAGGCGAGGAGAAAGGCCGTCGAGCTGATCAAATGGCTCAGCGACGCCGTGGACAAGGCCCTGCGGCTGAATCTGCAGACCCAGCAAGTGCAGCCTTACTACAATATGGCTGTCGCCAGCAGCCTCCAGCGAGACGTGGGCTACGCTTCGTGGCAGGTACGAACTAGCCACCACCCTCACCTTCGATCCTACTGTGATTCATCTTCGCTTCGTTAACCCTTGTCTCCAGTCCGAGATCGCGAGCATCCTGTGTACGCAGGAGGAGGCTGGGCAGGTGGCGGGCACCATGATCAAGGAGCTGATCGAACGCGTGAAGCAAAACTCGGTGTCGCGAAGGCAGATCTTCAAGCACGTAGAGTGGATCCTGCCCTGGATCAACACCCTGGTTTCGGTGAGCGGCGGCCTGCTCGAGCAAATGTTCAGCCTCATCAAGGAGCACCACAACAACCAGCCGATCGAGATCCAGAAGATCTGGTGCACGCTTGCCAGAAAGGTATATGCACCTACCAGTCTCAGTAGAATCGAATCTAATCTTCACGCCGCCACTCAGCCGTCGAACGTCAAGACCATCCTCGAGTACTTCCTCGACGAAGCCAGATGGGCGGACATGCAAAGGGTGCGGTTCCCCCGAAGATGGAAGAGTAAGTTCATTTGCTGATCTGAGTGATTGGCATGCGCAGAACGGTTACGACCTCACGCTGGCCAAGTGGTTGATGGTGTCGATGGTGCAAAAGAACAACATCCGAGCCCTCTACACCACCGATGACATCCAGGACGCGCAGAAGCTCAACAAGCTGATCATCGACTCCCTCGTCGCCGTACGTCGTCGCCTTGCTCGCTCGTGATCTCCATTCTTCCGCCCCACCGGTGATCTTGACTTCGTGTACCTCACAACACATACCCGTGCAGGAGATTGAAGAGATCCCAGGAAACCCCGACGTGGAGCGGCACCAGCGTGCCCTCTCCTTCCTGACCGAGATCATCGTCGAGGTGCCCGTACAGGAGTACGCGGCCCATCTGCCGACGATCACCCACGTATTGTTCTTGGGTACGTCGCACGCACGCACGCATGCGCGCATACCCACAGCGCACGTTCTCACATGAGCGGAAAATAGGTCTCGTACGGGAGGAAGCGGTAGCCAGCACCAGGAAGGACATGCGAATGCGGTACTGCGAGCTGTGCAGCAACCTGCTCAACGTCTTCGGCTTCCAGCAGTGGCGGAAGTCCGCCCAATCCTGGGAGGACGCCGACTTCTTGCACGCCAACAAGATCGAAGGACTCTTCAGGTTCGGCTCTCTTCTTCCGCACCACACGTGGAACAAGACACGACCGCGATTTTGACACAACGAGTTGTGCTCCCATTCAGGCTGGCCGACGGCAAGGAGGACGCTCTGTCGGACAAGATGCTGGCCAGCGTGGACAACATGTGCTTGAGGGTGTGCGACTTCCTGTTCCAGGAGAGGACATTCTCGGGCGCGCGCCGTGAATGGAGTTTGAAAGGTTCGTACACACACACACACACGACACACACACGACACACACACGACACACGAGAATGTGTGATGACAGTTGGTGTTTCTTTCTCGGTACGCGTGACATCACCCAGCTTTGGAGTTTGCGGAGAAGTCTTCAACGATGCGGATGAAGAAGCTGTCGTACCATATCTACCGCTTCCTTCTGTCGGAGATCTCGTTCCTCGATCACGTGGCAGAGGACGTGACCAAGCTCTCTCGCCACTTTGTGGGAGCCCTCAAGCTCTGGGAGGTCGACAAGGAGGGCGCCAAGCACATCACCCTCGAGCTCACGCAAACGATCCACGTACGTGCGCTCTGGCTCGGATTCTGACCGTCTGCCGATCCTTCTCGTGGCTGATGTATCGCTTCCCTCTCACTCGATCCAGCGCATGTTCCTGCTGGTGGAGCGCGAGGGGCAGCTTCCCAAGTTCCCCGAGCTGTTCTGGCTGCCCGTGGCCATGGCCGACAAATGCGTTCACAAGGGATTCGTTCCCATCCGTACGCCTGCCCCTCCTCTCCAGAACGCACAACACACAGCACACAGCACACAACACGCGCACACCGTGTACCAAACCGGTGCAACTGATTGACTGGTCAATTCGTTTTGCTGCAGAGTTGGTCAACTTCTTCTCTTCGATGGTGTCCAAGCTCCAGAACTCCAAGCAGCTTGAGCCCTTCTGCACTGAGATCAGCATCAGGTGACCACCCTTCGCTCCTTTCCCCCGGCCATCTGGTCCAACAGCTCGCTTACCCCTCTTTGTGTCCCCATACCTACGCACAGGAATCCGGACAAGCGGTTCGTGGGTTTCCACCCGCTGCTGACCATGTGCCTCGTGAAGGCCGACGTAAATACCAAGGACGAGCTCATGAGGGTATGTCGTCTACTAGCCCGCCCCCACCAGCACTAAGTTGAACTCAGTGGTGACTAACGTGCCACTCTTGAATGCGTCTGCAACAGTTGATCTTTGATTTCGTCAACATGCCCGAATGGGATGCCATCTTCCAGTGCAAGAGCCTGCAGCTGTTTGTTCGTAACGCGGTACGGACTCCATCAGGCGCCCGCGTCGCCTCTCTATTCGAGACTAAACCTGGTTCTCGCCTCGCAGATGGGAATGCTGCCCTTCTACGTGGACTACATTCACAGGAATCCAGACTTCATTTCTGAGAGATTCCCCACCATCATTAAGCAATGGTAAGTGGCCTACATCACACGATCTGGTCTGCACGCTGCAGCGTTGTCTCACGTGTCGCCAAAATGTGTGTGAAGGCTGGACTCGGAGCCGACGCCAACCGCCGATGTGAGGGAGTGTCTGTTGGGCATCGACGACATCTTCGGCAGCAAATGGAGTTCGGCCGCCCACCTCCAGGCCCACCTCCAGCAGAACCCGCTCGACCTGACCGACGACAAGGAGTTCAAGATCACCTTCTACGTCTGGCTCCTCGGTGGTACTGGCCCCAGCTTCGCCATTCGTGCTCTCCCACGGAAGATTGCACGAGCTGACACACTCGCGCACGCCCTGCAACATACGTCACTCACACGTTCCAGAGAAGGCCAACATTCTCATCCCGCTGCTGCTGAGGAAGCTCGACTTCCCGGCGATGGCCATATTCTACCGCCAGCACGCGTCGTCGCAGCTCGACGAAACCAAAATCAACCTCTTCTGCTTCAACGTATGTCCGGCTTCAGCGCTCCTTCGTTCACGCGACTCGTCTAACCCTTTCGCGTTTTGTTTTCACCCCTCCTTCATACATAATAGGATCTCAAGTCCAACATGTGGGGCGGTTCCTTCGCCTCGCGCATTGTTGTCAGCCCTCCTAGCTCGGTGAGTGCCACGCCGTGTGTCGTGTCGTGTAGCTGGTCGTGTCGTGGTCGTGTCGTGTCGTGTCGTGTCGTTGGTCGTGTCGTGTTGCGTGTCGTGTGTCATGTGCTACTTTCATGCGAAGACCCATCCTCACGCTCATTCTTCCATGACAGTCGGGAACCGCGTCGGCACCAGCCTCTGCGCAGGTGGCGCCCAGCTCGGTCGACAAGGCCAAGGAAACAGCGAAGAAGTACCGCCCTGCGTGAGCTCCCTTGCTTGCTTGCTTTCACTTGCTAACCCCCACCGTTCTCGCATGCAGATTGCCGATGGGCCGCTCCGATGACACCCTGGAATCGTCGGCCCGGTCTGGTTCCTTCGACCACGAACGGCCGCCCAGGCTTAGCATCGACGAGAAGCGAAGGCTCCCCGTCGCGGTACGGCTTCACCCTCCTCTCTCTCTCTCTCTCTCTCCCACGTTTCTCCCACGTTTGGCCTAATTCTCCTAACATTTACGTTTTGTCGTCGTTGTTGTCGTATCGTTGTCGTCGTTGTCGTCGTCGTCGTCGTCGTCGTCGTCGTTGTTGTTAAATAGGACGACGACGACGAGAGGAGCCAGTCGGCGCGTCCGCGAGACAAGGACCACGACCGCGACAGAGAGCGGGACAAGCGCGCGGTGCCGTCGTCGGCCCGCTCGCGCGACAAGGACCGCGGCGGCAGGGACAGGGACCGCGACCGCGACAGGGACAGGGACAGGGACAGGGATCGCGACCGGGACCGCGACCGCTCGGGCCGCAGCCGCAGGGACGACGACCCCGACAAGAAGGCGCGCAGCAGCCGCAGCAAGGAGTCGTCGTCGCGCACCAAAGAGCGGAGCAGCAAGCGCAGCGGCCGCGACAAGGACGACGACCGCGACCGCGACCGCGACCGTGATGGGAGCAGCAGCAGCCGCAGCCGGCGGGGCGAAAGGGGCGGCGAGCGCCGCGAGAAGTCGTCGGCTCGCAGCGGCTCCAGGAGGAAGGACGACGACGACCAGTCGTCGACGCGCGTGGACAGCGCCGACATCGACGCGGTGGTGTCGGCGGTGGTCGACCAACTGTCGCCGGAGCGGGTCGTCGCCGACCCGGACGAGCGCGACCACAGCCCGGTGCGCGCTGCGAGGCCCGTGGGCTCGCCCTCGCCCTCGACCACCTACCGCAACGCGCTCACCCTCACCCGCGAGGCGCCCGTGCCCCAGAAGGTCGAGAGCCTGGACTCGCCTCGCGCTGAGTCCGAAGAGGACGAGCCGTACGGCAAGGTACTGTGTTAGTGCAGCACCCACTCCCCACTCAGTTTGTGCGGACCTTCCCTAAACATTTGAGCGGTGCGTGCGGTGCGTGCGACTCTGTAGGATGATCAGGAGCGAGTGGAGGATGGTTCGAATTCCGAGGAGGAGGACCTGCAGCTCGACCTGGAGCTCGAACTCGAGATGGAGGAGCCGCAGCTCGAGATGGAGGAGGCTCGGGCGGAGAGCGATGATGAGGGCCGGTACAATGAAGACGACGACCACCACCGCCCGCAGCAAGGTGAGTGCAGCCGCTCCAACGAGATCTACGCGGTCGAAGACGACGACGATGATGACGACCGCCTGATGGCGACGACCACGCCGTCGTCGGGCCAGTACGGGTTCGCCGAGTTTGACGACGTGCTCCTGTCGAAGAGCTCGCTGCTGCAGAGCCTGCAGAGCCACAGCCAGCCGGCCGACGGCTCGGTGTCGTCGCTGGCCCGGGCCGTGGAGTACCTCGACAGCCGGTCGGACAGCGACCGCGACGACCGGTCGGAGCGGAGCTATTCGTCGGATGACGAGGACCTGTACAATCCGATGCCAAGAGACGACCGCGACGATGATGAAGACGACGAGACCGTCGATGCCAAGCAACTCATCCGCGAATTCTGGCAACAGGTGTGAGGCGCCGCCGCCCCCTTCAAAACTTCATGTGGTCGGCATGAAAACACACGCTGACAAAGGCAACACAACGACACACGCGACACAACACAAAACGACGCAACGACACGCGCAGGGAGTGAATGAGCTGGAGCGGATCCTGAAGAGCGGTTACATGATCTACACCGAAGACCTCTACCTGCCTCCCGTGGACGAGAATACTCCCGAGGAGATCATCCACTGCGAGCCGCACGCCAACAGAGAGGTACGCCCGGGTGTTGAGGCCCAGTGAGTGGGCATTGTGGGGGGGGGGGCAATGGCATACAACGAGCTGACCCCATTGTATTACAATGCAGGCCAAGCAGTACGCCTTGTCCAAGGCCATGGACTACTTCGAGCTCCTGAAGGCCGCGCTCGATGACCCCAACGTACGCACGCCTTTCCTATGGCCGCGGATACGCCACGCGCGCGTTTCGTTTGTTCTTACACTGTGTCGTCGTGTGTTCGTCTGTGATCACAGAACGAGTGGGAGGATAGACAGGAGGTGGAGGAGATCCACCACAGCATCAATGAGCTTCTGCGCAGCAGCTACTTCAACGTGTAGATGTGTAGCCCACAGACCAACTGGCTGCCTCGTGCAAAAGCTGTCATTTTTACCAGCAGGACCTTAAGGCGTGAGCTGGTTCGCCTTCGCAGTTCACCTCCTTCGGTTGATTTTACCACTCCACCCACCGCACCGGCGAAACGTGTTGTTCAGCGCAGGCCTGTGTTTATTTTGTGTGTGTAGCTGAGAGGGCGGCCTACGTGGCCGAGATCTCCGTGAGGGGCGTGGCCGGGGTGGGCGTTGGCGGGACAGAAGCAGAGGAGGCGGAAGAGGAAGTAGAGACGGCCTCCGAGGAGGTGGTGGTGGAGACGACGTCCATCTGATCCAGCGAGGCCGAAGATTCGTCCTGCAGGTCGACCCGCATCACGTCGGGGATGGCCAGGTCGTCGCTGCCATAGTGCACCAGCTGGCTATCGCTCCGTCGCCGCTCGACGCCCAGCCGCGAGTTTCGCCTGTCGCGCGGCTGCCTCAGCGTCGGCGTGGAGCTGTGCTGTTCGTCCCCGTCCCTCCTGCCGCCGCCCTTCTTGTTTCCGGTCGAGCTCTTACGGCTCGTCATGCTTCCCCGCCTCCTGGCCTTGGGCTCCGAAGCATTGTACACCGTCTCGTAGCGAGAATGCCTGGCATGTCGCAAACGACATGAGACACAGAGACAAAAGAAAAAAGAGAACGAAAGCGACGGATGCGTTCACTGGAGAGGTACCTGCGCGTGAAGGCCTCGTCGGACGTGTCCTCGCTGCTCGAGCCTTCGTCCAAGTCGCGCAGCGACACGAGTGCGTCATCGACCTCCACCACACCTGCCACTTGGACTAGCGGAAGAAGCAGAAACGAGAGCACGCGTCAATAATAAGCAAGCTCGTCGCCATTGGGGAGAGAAGAAGAGGGTGGCGTACTGGTGGCGATGGAATCCCCGTTGGACTCTCGCTTCTCGCCGTAGAGGGCTGTAGCGCCGTTGGGGGCGGGCGAGTCCGTCACGACGCGCCAGGCGGGGGTCGCTACCTCCGGCTTCTCGGGGACAAAGATCCGGTGTACTTGATCGTCAAACACGACGCGCGAGATATCAAAATCGCTGGTGCGCAGTCCCTTGGGCGTGCGTGTGCGTCCGCCTGGCGTTCCGGTCTTGCTGTGGCTCTGTCTCGGCTGGAGAATGGCGGTGGCAGTGGTGGAAAAAAGAGGAAAGGATTAGTCATCGCAAGTGAGGGCGTGAAGGAGAGGCACGAACCTCGGGCGTGGGGGGTTCTCTGACGTTCTTCTTGGTGACGCGCATCTTGAGCGTGTTGCGGTAGCGCTTCTTGAGGTGGGGCGGGAGGTCCATTTGGGAAGACCGCACCCAACGATTCTCCGACTCGGCACGACCCTTGTAGTGCACGAGGTACTCCCACTCGTTCGTGCCCTCGATCTTGCACCGAGCAATGATGCGCGAGATGACGGGCTCCTTCTCGCCTCTCTTCGCCTTGCCCTCCGGTCGTTGCTGAATGAATGAATGAATGGCCACAAACCCGAGACGCGTCAGCATGGCTCTCCGGTCATGTCGGCGACAACTCATTAGAAGGGCGAGGTATACCTTGGCTTGGCCCTTCTCGGGATCGCAGGCGGCACAGCAGCAGATTCCTCGACAGCGGGGGCACATCCACTCCCCCTTCGCCTTTTGAAGTACAACGATCTCTTCGTCATAGTGTTTCTCCAGACACCTCTCGCAGTATTGCATCCCGCACTTGCCACTGCACAGCAGGTGAGGAGAAACCACACAGGTTAGGACCACCACCGGCTATGGGGAAAATGAGAAAGCGTACGTCGCAACTCCATCGCAACACATAATGACGGGCTTGTGTCGGAGGCATTGGTGGCACCACTGGCTGACGGGGATCCGCGTTTGCTTCTTGGACAGCCGCCGCGCCTTCTTCTCGCTCTTTTCGTCCAACTCCTCTCGTTTCCGCTTCAAGCAGAGACCGGAGCCCTCCTTCCACAGGGGGTTCTTCCGCGCCTCGCTCTCAAAGTCCTGCACGAGCTCCGAGCACTCAATATCCTGCGCCTTCTCCCACGAGTTCTCGACATCGGCCAGTCCTTCCCACTTGACGAAGTACTCCACACTCCCCTGTCATGTTCAACACAAAAAGCAAGAAGAGCGATTAGACCATGACGATAAGGGACCTACCGGAGAGGCGTATCAGGCCCAGGGTTACTTTACCTTCCGTATTCGCTTGCTCAGGATCTCCTCGATGAAGTACTCTTGGCTTTCCTCGTCCTCCTCGCCCAGTACCTTCAAGTCAGACCTTCGTTTGTTTTTGTTTTCGGCTCTCTTGTCGCCTCGCACGTCCTTCTCCCCCTCGGCCTCCTTGCTCTTCGATGCCTCCTTGTCCAGCGGGCTTGAGCGCTTCAGAGCCCAATAACCCGACCCTGTGTGCGCGACAACAGCGACCCGATGGTGAGACACAAGGGAAAGCAGTGCTAAGCGGCAGCTTTAGGTACCTCTCTGGTGCGACTGAAAGAGCTCAGGGTGTGTGGATATCTGGGACATGACTGTGTTGCCCCAAGTCGGCGTGCCTGCGGGGAGACGGGGGAAGGTTGAGGATGAAAGTTTAGCAAGAGCGCCAACAAGACATGAACAAGAGAAGGAGAGAAGCAAAGGAGGACGAACGGGCGCGCTCGGGACAGATTGAGGACCAGTGGTGGTCGATGAAGGCGCAGATCTCTGACTTGCAGTGAAAGTACTGCCGCTGGTGGAGAATCTCCAAGTTGTAGAGTGCCGTCAAGATGATGTCCATCCTACCCACACGCAAGCGTCAGCCTCAGGGCTTAGAGGGTGCATCAGAAGCGAGCGCCGTACCAGTTCTTGGCATGGGTTTCGCCAGTTTCGCAATTCGAGCATTTGAGATGACACTTCTTCTGCAACGCCGCGTACGAGGGCTGTGGCGATGGTGAAGATGAGATGTAGAATCATGAAATGCCAAGATTTAGGGCCAAGGACGTACCAGCTGCAGAGAGGCGCCGCAGATGAAGCATTTCATTTCGACAAGCTTCGTCGCTCCATTGAGATCGGATGTCAGCTCGTCGGCAGAGATGAGGATCGAAGATGACGAGGAGGATAGAGATGTAGCGTTGGGGCTTCCGAGCGGCCTGTGAGGCTGGAGCGGGATGCGGAAGGCCTCGATCTTACTCGAGACATTCAGAAATCGGGCTTCGGTCGCCGTGATTACCTCAAATTCCTCGAATTCGCTGCGCGGGGTGCTGTCCTCGAAGATGAATGGACCCCTTCTGCGTGCTTGGGCTTTGGGTCGTTCCATCTTCCCCGGCATGCCATTCGGTGTCAAAACCGGCGTATCGGCCTCCATTGTCCCTTCCTTCCAGATGATGATAGGCTCTACCCCGCTCTTGGGCGCCATTCCTTCCGCCTGGGTCGGTGGTGATTGAGGTAGTGCAGTCGTGGAGTCCATTCGGGTGGGGCTGCTGCCGCTCATGGCTGAAGCAGGAGACCCCTGTTCCATTCTCATTACTCGAGTCGCGGTCGATCGTTGAAGGGATACGTAGATAACGGGGCGATGATCTGACGCCGACTCGCCAAGGGCTGTTGTTTTCTGCGGATTTGGTTGGGCGGCAGGCGGAGAGGGCTATCTTCGGCGAATCGTTTTGCCTTCGGCTCGGTTGATGCTCTTTCCTCGTGAATGAATAGTCGAATCGATGAAGAACTGTCCTCCAGCAATGCGAACGCCGCCTCCGCTGTGCACACGTCCCCCGAGTTGCCGAACCGCCTCCTTGCCGAAGCTTGCCTGGAAGAAGGTCAACGTCACCGTGTCAGCGCCGTCATACAAAATCCCCTTTTTTCTGGGATTTGAATAAATAAATAAATAAATAAAAATAACACTGTACACTGGAGGGTGAGTCCGACGTACAACAGCATTGTTGTACTACTACTACAAGGTCATCCTTCTACTGCCTGTGTACGATCATCACGACGTAGGGAATATGGTTGGTGAGCAGACAAACGTTTCGGCAGTCTCCAAAAAAAGATGGACTCACCCAGGCATGTATAGCCTAGCGTTAAGCCCTGATGGTGGGATCAGCCTTGCTCTTGTACGCTGCATAGCCACCGCGTCGCTGCTCCTTGTTCCTTGTGCTGCGTGAGTTCTTCCGTACTTGCGAACAAGGGTGGGAGGAAAAAAAGGCAGAAAGCAGAAAACAAAAATAAAGAATAATAAGAAGGAAATAGCGGCAGGAGAAGATGGAAGAGGAGGACCCGACGGAAGCGACGCCCCTCAAATCGAAGAAAAATGCCAAGGCGACGAAGAAGGGCCAACATCGAAGGACCAACTCTGTCCTGCAGCGTTCCTATCCGCACCGCTACATCGCCCGGCACGAGCCGACCCTCGAAGATTACAACACCTCGACCAAATCGGATAATGTGAACCGGGCGCTGTTCCAGATGGCCATGCGTTGGTCCCTCATCAAGTCCTTCTGCAGCCTCATCACGCTGGGCGGTGTGGGCATTATCGTCCTCACCGTAGTCTCGACCATGGTCTGTTACCACTACGACCTCGAGGCCGCCCTTCCCCTGGCCTTCCTCGGCACCGGCATCTTCTTCCCCATCTCCTTTGGGTACCTCCGCGCGTGCATGGGTCTGGCGTTGTGCGTTGTTGCATTTCACCTGTTGAATGAAGCTGCTCACTCGAGTTGGTGTGCAGCATTTCGTGGGCTTTCAAGCGCAGAGAGCAGGCGCTGATAGACATGGCGGATCTCAAGTCGGCCGCGGTGGCTCTGTACCAGTGTCACCGCGAGTGGTGCGTACACCTCCAACAACGGCGATCGTGATCGTGTCCGCGCGCGTGTGGCTATCATTTGGCCAACCCTTGCTTGCTCTGGGCGCAGGGACCACGAGGAGGCGAGGCACCTGGCGAAAGCAAATAGCAAAAAGCGACACACCAAGCAAGAAAGGGAGGTGCACAAGATGCTCAGGAACAGCAAAACGGACAGCAGGTACGCCACGGACCTACTCACGGCAAGCGGCACTTTCTCGCGAACGGCGTCCGAGGCCAGCATGGAGGTACGCCACCACTCCTTCTGGGGACTTTGTGCGCTGTGTCTTACAATGATGATTTTTGAACACGGCTACGCTAAGACCATTGCGGAGGACGAGGAAGTCCTGTCAGACGCTGAGGACGGTATCTACATTAATTACAATAATCACGGAAGAATGGCTTTGGAGATGAGGTACCAGCACTATTCCCCCCCCCCATTTCGCCACACCGTCTTCACCGCTCATCGCCTTCCTTCAGGACGTTGTTGATTGATCTCTTCGAGGAGATCAAGGTATTCTTGAAGCACGACGGCGAACCGAGCTCTCTCACAAAGATATACTATTTATTCGATCAGATATGGAAGGTAACTGTTCTCTCGCCCCTCTTCATGTGACTCGGCGCTGACGCTTCTTTTCACATGTGCGCAGCAACAAGAGGAGCTCAGACTACGCAATGACTGGGTGGCGAGTCTGCTCTCTCGTGCTTTGCAGTACGCCCCATTTGGCCCAATCTGATCGTGCTTTGTACACTGACCTGTTCCCCCCCCCCCTCCACGCGCCATATTTCATCGTCACAGATATCAACGGTTTATGATGCTCGACTTTGAGAAGCTCAAAATCATACACGATTACCGAACACCATCTACCCTGCGCGGTTATGCGTTCGTCTTTCTGTCCATATTCCCAATTCTATTTGGCCCAGCGGTACACGTGCCCTCTCTTTGCCGCATTGACTCAATGATCCATCGCTCCTCCTCACCTCTTTGTGCAGTTCGCCGCACTCGCTCGGGACTATGGTCTTTGGGCTGGCATATTCACGGCGTTGATATCCAGCTTGATGTTTGTCACATTGGGCAACATACAAACGTTTGTGGAAGACCCCTTTGTACGTCACCCACAAAAGGAAGTGCAGACCTCCTCACAACTGTGCGGCTTACCCTCCTCATCCTCTCCTGCAGGAAGGGTTTGGTGCAGACGCCGTCAACCTCGACATGCTTCACGAAATCGATCGACACATGTTTTAATGTACTGTCTACTGTAGACTCGCGTGGCCATCCCCTGTACAAAGTGTAGTGGTCCAGCAATGTGCTCATTTTTTTAATTTATTTTTTCACCAAATGAAAAAGAACGGTTGGCCGAAAGCGGGAAAATGCGTGCTTTCTCTGCACTGTCGACATTATTAGGGCACACTCCGTTTGGACTCCGTGGGCGCGCAACCCCCAACGGCGCTCTGTACGGGAACCAGGGAAAGTGGGAGAAGTGCGCTGCCGTAGGGAGTAGCTTCAGTTTCGTCTGGCTTCTTGTGCTCGCGATAGAAGGAGCGCCTCCGCATTCGATCGCAGCTACTAAAGAAAAGCGAGCGCATCGCCAAAAAGCACAGCACGGGCACGCAACGCGTTGAGCAAGAGCGACTAGTACCAGCCGATTCGGTCATCAGCTCCCCCCTCGAATTAATTTTCGCCTCTACCACAGCAACACATTATGGCCTTCCCTCCGCGCTGGCTCAACAGGCAATGCATCGCCTTCACGATGCTCTGCTTCCTCGCAGTCTTCCTCATCATCTCGCTCTCGCTTCCGTGGTATGGAATCGTGCAAAACAACGTGCCACATCCGAGATCTGATAGTGATACGATGGCGGCGCTCGTCGGCGTCTTCTACTGGACGGGCTACTCGACCGCAGTCGCCCCCAACTACACCCAATCCTACGCCTCGCACAAGAGCTGGGACGAATTCCCGACGAATGGACCCAAGAACATCTACATGACCTGCATGGCCTTCACCCTCCTCGCCCTCATCTTCTCCGTCGGCCTGGCATTCTTCGTCCTCGTGGCCTCGATGCTCAGGAACTCCCGCCGGTGGTTCGATCTCGTCTGCTGCGGCAAGACCAAGTGGATCCTCTTCGGCGTGTCGCTCGTAATCGTCGGGTTCGTCTTCCTCTCATGGGTCATTTTCTTCGGATTCTCCAAGGCCCTCGGCGATGACGGCTCCATCTGCCCCGATCCCGCCTACGTCGGCGAGAACCGTCTCTGGTGCGGAGCTTTCCTCGGTGCCAACGCCAGCCTCGGCCGCCTCCACTCCCAGTACGCCTGGGCTCCCAGCATCGGGTGGGTCTTCGCCGTCTTCAGCATGGTGTGGGCGCTCGGCGTTTCGTTCTTCCTCTTCATCGTCAAGCCCGCCGAGCACTACCAGAAGCTGGGCGAGGAGGGTGTCGACCGACACGAACGAGAACCCGTCTACGAGGCCCGCGGCGGCTACGATGCCCGCAGCAACTACGGTGGTGGTTACGGCGGCGGCGGCGGCGGCGGCGGTTACGGAGGCGGCTACGAGCAGCAGCGCGGCGGCGGCTACGGCGGCGAGGAGAAGTACGGCGGGCGCGGTGGCGGCTACGGCGGCGGCTACGGTGGTGGCGGCGGCTACGACAAGTACTGAGTTAGGTTATTCCTTCCTTCTCTCTCTCTCTCTTCTTGTGTTCTCCCTTTTCTTTCTTCCTCTTGAGTCTCCCCGCTATCCTTCTTTGTGGAGTTCGTAAGGAGGATACGTTGTAAAGATGAGCTTCGTCACCACCCCACTCCCTCCGTGTCAACTCTCTCCTTCCCTTTCATCTTTCTTTTGGTCACTTGCGACCCATCACCTCCACCTACATCAGAGTGTACTCCCTACGGATCATATAAACACCACATATCAGTAACACAGTCATCACCTTGGCCTTGGCGCTCCCTCAACTTCGTCTTCTTCGTCAAGCAACCGAACACCCGGGTGAAGGGGTCGATTTCAGTTTAGCAGGAGCCTATTGGGGCGTTTTTTAGGGGTCTGTCGTGGCACGCAGCAACGCGCAGAGACAAAGAGAAGAAGGAAGGACGCTGCACAAGAGGGCAGCGGTGTGGCATGCAATTTTTGATGAAGAGGCGGAAAGAAAACGAAGGAGCCCAACCGGTACCTTGCCACTTCGTGACCATCGCACAACGGAGGAGGATAAGGAGAGGAGGGGGCTTTCTTAGAAAGATGCGAGAAACGGAATGGGGAGAATTAACAATCGACTTCGATTAATTATCTTGCCAACCTTTCTCTCCTGCATGTGCCATGTATCTCAAGGGTCTCGCCTCGGGTGAGGATGGAAGAACACACATGTTTCACAGCGGGCCTCCCGAAATCGGGCCTGGCGAAGTCGAAAAGCTTGGAGTACTCGGCGATGGTTCCTTTGGCACGGTGTACAGGTACGTCAGCGCTGATGTCCTCATTCTTTTGATGAATTTGTTTTTTTCTAACTGTTTGTTCGTGCTCCAGGGGTCGCTGTCGTTCGCAGGAGGTAGCAATCAAAGTGCTGCATCGACAAGATCTTGATGAGCACTCCCTCAATGCGTTCCGAAAAGAGGTGGAGATTGTGAGTCGCATCTTCCATCCCAACATCTTGCTCTACATGGGTGCCTGTACGATACCCGGCCACATGTGCATTATCACCGAATTGATGCACAAAGGCGACCTCGAATCGCTGCTGCACGATGAGAAGGTAGCCCTCGACCCCTCGCATTCAAACAAACAACTTCACCGACACTTAATTTCAACAGGCGGCTTTGCCAATTGTGCTGCGCATGCGAATGGCGAGGGATGCGGCGCTGGGAATGACCTGGTTGCACTCCTCCAATCCCGTATTTATTCATCGTGACTTGAAGACCTCCAACTTGCTGGTGGGCGACGATTATAACATCAAATTGTGCGATTTTGGCCTGAGCGTACGTACCCATCGACCTTTCCTTCGTATTCTCGCTCTTCGCGTCTGACGGCGACCTCGTTTTTGTACGACCTCGTGCAGCAAATCAAACAAAGGGGAGAGAACCTCCGCGATGGCGTGGAGGGTGCGAAGGGCACGCCTCTGTGGATGGCGCCGGAGGTGATGGCGGGGGAGATCTTCAACGAAAAGGCCGATGTGTATTCCTTCGGCATTGTCCTCTGGGAGATCCTGACTCGCCAAGAGCCGTTCAAGGGTACAGCTCAAGTTCTTCTTCTTCTTGCTCGTCTTCTTCCTCCTCCTCACCCTGCGTCCATGCGGCCGCCACTCTTGCGCTGTCCTTATGGAGTCCATCTGGAGTCATGCTCACCCCGCCACCTCTGTTTGTAGAGTTTGACAACTACGAAGAGTTCAGGAACGCCATCTGCAATCGCCACGTGAGGCCTATCATTCCTCCGGGGACCCACCCAGCGCTCAAGCAGTTGATTGAAGCCTGCTGGCACCACGACCCCACCAAGCGGTACCGCTTCTCGAACCCTCATCTCCTCTCTCTCTCTCTGCTCGACGCCGAGTCTCATGCGTGCGGTGTCTGCCTCCTTGTGGCAATGCAGGCCCGCATTCCCGGCCATTGTGGCGGCACTCGAGTACATAATTGTTGACACCGGCATCCTGGACAACCATGGCCGGAAGCTGTGGAAGGACTACTTCCTCAAGAAGGTGAGACCTCCTCTCAGATCTTTACGCTTTCCGCAGTTAGCTGACAGCCCCCTCCCCCGGTCGTCTCCCCGCAACCAGGACAAAGTGGGGTGGACCGATTTCCTCCGAGTCTTCATGAACATCATGCCCTCCACCGAAGATCCCCAGACCCGCATCCTGAACATCAAGTGCCTCTATGCGCTGCTGGGTACGCCGTCGAGCGGAGTCACCCAGTGTTACGGGGCGAAGGGAAGCGAGTGATTCTGACACACTTGTCTCTGCTCTACAGTCGAAAAGGGCAGGGACGGCGACGAAATGGTCACGATGGAAGGGTTTGGCAACTTCATCTCGTGGTTCGGCCCCATGCTCTCTGATCAGCTCCCACCGCTGATGGAACGGGTACTTTCTCTCCCTCTATCTCTTCAACTGCTTCGACACTCAGAGCTCAAACCACACGCCACCCGCCTTTGTGCACTCCGCAGGTGCGCTCGGTGCTAAGGAAGAGCTACTTCCACGGCGATATCAGCACCCGGGACGCCGAAGGCCAGCTGGCCGGTAAGCAGGTATAGCACTAGCACTCCGCTCGTCGTTGGTGAGAAGCGCCCAGTAGAGAGGCCCGAACCTCCATTCTCATCGAATGCCTTCGTCTCCGTTGCGTGTGGTGGCGGCCAGGTTGGCACCTTCCTGGTGAGGTTCAGCACATCTTCTCCAGGCTTCTACACGATCTCCAAGGTCGCGTCTGATGGCTCCATCCAGCACCAGAGGATCATCCACCACCCCAACCAGCCTGCATTCTACATGAACAACAGGGTACCCCCTTCCCCTTACTCTCACTCTTCTCACCTCTTCGAATTATGGTGATGAAGCAAGCATTGATGAGGCCTCTTCTCATCGTCGCCGTCTTCATTTATGAACAGGCCTACGCTTCTCTCGAGGATTTGATCAACCAGAACGCGAGGGAACTCAACCTCATCAGCGCATGCCTGGGCTCCCGCTTCTCGGCCCTCTTCGTGGAGCAGAGTATATCCGGCTACGTGCAGTGATGCGGTGCTCGCGTTCCGGCTTGGAGGCTTGGCCACACGCCATGTTTGCGTCGGCGTGTTCTCTCGTATGTGTGCGGTTCGTTCACACGAGGAGCCCAACCCTCTCAGTAAACGCTCCCATTTAGCCAGCCCCATGCTTGTGTTGTGTGCTGTGCCTTCACGTACGACACACGCATAGACCGCGTGCGGTGGTGGTGTGTGTGCCAAACATTTCCCAAACTTTTCGTTTCGACTGAAAGTCTTGGAAAAGTCTTTTCCCGGACGAGAACGTTTGCCTAATCTTCAACACTGGCCTGGTGTCTCGAATTGCAATTGCATCACTCTGCACAGCGATGCAGTCGTCCGAAGGGACAAACCGTCCATTGCCGATGAGCGTTCTCAACATCAACGATTTGCCAGGTTCGCTGCATCCTCCACTCATTGTCGAATCGTCATGATTGCCACTTGGCGGCCGAGGGCGGACCGTTGGCACATGGTGGACTTGGCGGCTGACCCACTTCACCAGACGAAACGCTGCTGGGCGTGTTGCAGTGTCTGCCGCCGCACGAGCTGCTGACGGCCGAGCTCGTGTGCCAGCGCTGGCGCGGGGTGGCGACAGACCACGGCAACGTGCTATGGCGCCCCCTCTTCGACAGCTCGCCCTACTCGCGCTGGTGGCTGCCCTTCCGCCCGTCTCACGACTTCACGACTCTCAAGGGTATCTTCCCCGACTTGCGCGTGTGCGGTGCCATGTGCGTGTGCTGTGCGTGTTTCCATAAGTGTTGTGTCGTGCGTCGTGAACGAGTTCTGGGCTCTGACGCTGTCAGCAGAATCCATGGAGAGTAAACAACAGAAGAACAACAAGAAGGTAATCGATTACAAGTGGGAGTACCTGATAAAGAGCCGGTGCACTGAGCGCTGGCTCAAGTTCGCCTCCTTTCGTCGCGTTAGCCGTGGCGTACGTGGCCACTCCCCACTACTCGAACGTTCGCGCCTTTTTGGCCACCCGCTCACTCACCTGATTGATTGTCGCACACCACCACCAGTTACGAGACCACGGCGATGACTACGGCGGCGTCGTCAAGTGGTCGCGCAACGAAACAGCGGCCGGTGGCCTGGGTCCCGTACGGATCTCTCCATCCTTACCCACATTCTCATCACTCTCACACTCTCACTCGCGCTTGCGTGTGTGTGTGTGTGTGTGTGTGTGTGTGTGTGTGGCGTGTTTCTTTCTCCTCAATGCAGGACCGCATCGCCATTCGCGCCGTGCTCGTCGGCGGAGGCAGCGTCGGGTGCCACACGCTCTCCTCGGCTCTGGGCAAGTACGCACCCCCCCCCCACAAGCCCCTAACCAGTCTCGGCCACTCATGGGTGGTGGCGGCCGCAGGCTCTTCCCGGGCGCGTGCGTTTCGCTGGACCAGGGGATGGACGTGCTGACGAACCCGCTGTCGCGCGTCCAGCTGGTCATCACCCGCGACGAGGAGGTGGAGGCCGAGGCGTTGCTCGCCTACCGGCGCGAGGTGGCCGGCACGCCCTTCACCTTCGGCCCGCTGCCCCTCGAGGTCGAGCTCGAAGTGGCCGACATCTGTACGTACCGCCCCCAACCGCCCCCATGCCTCGGTTCAACTTCTCACGCGGCCTCGTCTACTGTGTGTGTGTGTGTGTGTGTGTGTGTGTGTGTGTGTGTTTCTGATTGGTGTAGTTTCTGTGGAGGGACGATGCGAACTGGTGCGGAACGAACTGTTCGAGAGCGCGCGGCCGACAGTGGTGCTGGCCGCGTTCTCGCTGGAGAACTTCCGCTCGTTCAACGAACTGCGCGACAAAGTGCTGCCGGCGGTGCGCACCCGATTCAACGACCTGCCCGTACTGGTCGTGGGCACCAAGTCCGACACCCGGCACCCCAGCGCACTCGACTCCTTCTTTCACGTTTCCGGCGCCGGCCCTGACTACCAACAAGGCGTGGCGCTGGCCTACGAGCTCGGGGCCAAGGACTACGTCGAGTGTTCCATCCTGACCCGCGAGGGCCTCGGGTCAGTTTTGGGCGCCACGGCCGAACTCGGTACCCACCACACCACTACTGCAGCAGTCCCCTCGTCCGCACGCAGAGACGCTGACACAAATGGGGCGCGCGCGATGCAGGTGTGCGGCACATGCTGCAGTTCTTTGCGCGCACGGACCTGGAGAGCCGACCCACGGGGCTGCGGTGGGCGGGCGAGGAGGACGACCAAACGGAGGTCCACGAGACCATCCGCTGCAATGGCTGTGGGGTGCGTGTCGTGTGTGAATGGCCAACGCGCCTTCAATTCCGCCGATTGCCTCTCACACACGACACGACACACATGACACACTACGCACACGACACGACCAACGACACAGGTGGCGCCGGTGGTGGGGAACTGTTACAAGTGTGACACGTGTCCCGACTACCACCTGTGCCAGACGTGCTTCCAGGGCAAGACCCACAACCCCGACCACACCTTCAAGCTCTGGCACACCAAGAAGAGGCGCCTCATCAAACGGTACGCCACATACAGGCACACACATCGGCCGCTTCCCCACTTTCGAGCCGCGGAAGCTCACGACACGACACGACACGACACGCACACGACACAGGCACACGCACCGGTCAACGTCGTTTCGTGAGGGCTTTCGGCATCGAAGCTCGTTCACCGAGGACGAAGAGGGAGAAGACGAAGGGGAAGCGGGCAAGGCGGAGGCCTCCGAGGAGACGGCGCCGCTGGCCGACCTGATGGAGGCGGCGGAGGCGCAGGGGAGGAACGAGGCGGCGGCGGAGGAGGTGCGAAGGGAGAAGGAGGAGATCAAGAAGAAGGGGAGCGAGTCGTTCAAGAAGACCGGCCTGGGCGACAGCTGGAAGGAGAGCGTGGAGGACATCTTCCGCATGTTCTCCAAATCGCCTGAGTCCAAGGGGGCCAAGCGCAAGCGCGCCTCGCCACCAGACGACACCGTCGTATCCGCCACAACTTCTGCATCGTCATCACCACCACCATCATCAAGCCCCGCCGCAGTCAAGAAGGCGCGAACAGACAGCAGCGAAGAAAAATAAACGACGCTGGGTTGTGGTACAAAAAACAAGTTACATGTGCGAGGTGGTGGGCTAGCTGCTGCTGCTGTCGCCGCCGAAGAAGCCGCGGATGGTGGAGGAGAAGGAAGAGGAGGAGAAGAGGGTGGCGGGGCCGCCAGAGGAGGAGGTGGTGGTGGAGGGTGGCCCGCGCACGCTGGCGACGAGGCTGCGCGGTTCGCACTCGAGGGACAGCTGGTAGAGCCGGTCGTCGGCCTCGCGGCTGCGGGTGCTGCCGCCGCCGCTCGGCCCCAGCTCGCGCTCGGCGGCGGTGAGCGTGGTCTCGAGGAAGTCGCGCACCTTGGGCAGCGGCTCGAAGGCGAAGGGCTTCCGCTGGAAGTTGATGAGGTCCACGATGGCCACCGCGACGCGCCTCCGCTTCTCAAAGTTGATGATGACAGGGGCGTCATGGCCCTCGTACCCCTCCACGGCGAACTCGTTGGCGTTGCCCTCCTCGATGAACGTGAGGTCGCTCAGGTAAATTCCTGTCGTGCGCCACCCGTGAGCAAGGCGCACACGCACGACACGACACGACACGACACGACACGACACGACACGACACGACACGACACGACACGACACGACACGACACGACACGACACGCGATGATGGTTCAAGTACCGAGGTAGGGGAGACAGGGAGGCTCGGCACATTTGACGGTCTCACGGTAGACCCGGTAGTTGGCGTTCGTGAAGGCGGCAAAGTCCTCGTACACCGCCCTGGCCCTCTGCGGCAGACCCTCAAAAGTGCGCTGTGCGTGCGGTGCGTGCGGTGAGTGCGGTGAGTGCGGTGTGTGCGTTAGGGATTGGGGTTGACAGTGAAGAGGGGAGCGGTGGTGGTGGACTTGCCTTGAGCCGATGTATGGGCGAGGAGTAGAGCGCCGACACGATCTCCACCATGCCGTTGAAGTTCTGCACCTTCTGGCACTCGACGGCGACGTTGATGAAGAAGTTCATCACCCGCACCCGCTGCGCCAGCTCCTTCTCCCGCAGGATGCGCATCGCCACGCTCGCGCTCATCAGGTTGAACCGCCGGATCAGCTCCAGCACGTTCGGCGCGCTCTCCTGTTGCTTGCTCCACCTCTGTGGTTCGCTCGCGATGATCGTCAGCCAACAAAAAGAACGAAACAAAGAACGAAAAGCGACAGGCAGGGGGGAGGGAGTGTACGAGATCGAGGCACTCGGTGGGCTGGATCTTGCGGTAGAAGCCGAACTCGGCGAGGGCCATCTGGCGCGCCAGCTCGGCCGGGTGGAGGTCGGTGAAGTCCTTCAGGAGCACGGGCGGCTTGATGGGCTTCGGCACGTCGCCCACCGGCACCATCGACAACTCCTGGCCCGTCGCCTGCACCTACCGTCAGCCACCGCACACACCGCACACATCGCACACGACGGAACACCGCAAGACGCACGACACGAACCTTGCGTGATATCATGTAGAGGAGTTTGTGTGCGGGCTTGGTGAAGTGGGGGTCGGTGGCGAGCTTGTCGGTGAGGAACTGGGTGAGGCGCATCTGCCGCGCGTCGAGACCCTCGAAGTCGTACCAGTAGCTCTCCACCCAGGTCTTGACCACGAACCAGATCTTGCTCCGCACCGTGAGCCGGTACAGCTCCCAGTCCTCCCTCGACCGGCCCTTCCGCAGCCGCACCGGAATCGCATACCTGCCATTCCATCCATACCACACGTCGTGTCGACAGCAACCCTCAGTTCGGCCGAAACGAGGGAGTGGTGCAGTGGTGAGCGTGTGTGAGTGGGTACGTACCGGCGCACGAGGAGGTCGATGAGCTCGTCGGGCGAGGAGAAGGAGTGGAGCGTGAGCAGGAACGACTGAACGAAGAACGGGTCGTGGCCTTGGTCGCCCGTGAGGCGCTCCACCAGCTTGATCAGGGTCCTGCAGTCAGAACAGCGTCATCGTCGTCCACAGATCTACGCACTTAAGGTGGCGTGTGTGTGTGTGTGTGTGTGTGTGTGTGTGTGTGTGTGTGTGTGTGTGTGTGTGTGTGTGGTACCCGCCGATCAGCACGCCCTCGGCATTGAACCTCGTGTTGGTGTAGTTGTCCTCCTCGTCGAACGGGTACAGGCTGGCTTCTTCTTCTTCGTATTCTTCTTCCTCCTCCTCCTCCTCTTCTGCTGCTGTCGTGGTCGTCTGATGCCCGCTTTCGCCGGCTTCTCCGTACGCTTCTGCGTGGTGCTCATCGGACTCGGCGGGCTCGGCGTCGAAGAGCCAGGCGTGGTGCAGGATGAGCAGCGACGTGAGGCGGTTGACCAGGTGGATGATGTCGATGTTGGCCATCGGCTCGCCCGCCTTGAACAGCAGCGTGGGTCCGACCACCGTTGCCACCGCCTTCCCCCGAAAGCACCATCACCGTCAGGTGTGTGCCGTGTGTCGTGTGTGTGTGTCGTGTGTCTCGTGTGTAGTCTGGCGTACCGCGATGTTCATGCGGTTGATGTGTTCGTACTGGAGGACCAGCGCCCAGTACTCGACCAGCCGCCGCAGGGTGGCCCGGTTGACGGGTGGCAGAAGCTGAAGCGTGTCCTTGATGCCCCACAGCACCGCGTCGGCGCTGTCGGCGTCGTCGCCCTGCTGCTGGCAGACCGCGACCCACTGGTCGTAGAGCTGGCCGGTGAGCAGGGGCTCGGGCAGTTCGCGCAGGAAGGCCTTGAGGAGGTTGGCCACGTTGTTGATGTTCTTCTCCCCACTGAAGTCGATCGGCTCACCTGCACCGCCGTGCGTCGTGTGTGTCGTGTGCGGTCGACTGTCAGCATAATGAGACCAATCCTAAATCAAATAGATAAGCTACCTTTTTCAAACCTGGCCCGTAGTTGGTTCATCTGCATCGTGCTGCCGGCCTCGCGGAAGATTCCCTCCGACATGGCCCCTTGAGAGAATGGGAGTGTCAGGCCAGCCTACAGGCCGCAGACCTGCGCACGCCCAGGTTCGGGGCATGGTGCGGTGTGGTACGGTGCGGTACCGTTTTGTTTGTGGAGCACCTCCAGCGCCCGCGCGATGACGAGCGGGACCTGCAGCGTCGGGTGGCTCTCCCTTTGCCTCTCCATTACTTCCTCCAGCGACACGCCGTACACCCGGCCTTTCCCTGCATTGATGATTTCGGGTTGGTCACACGTGTGTGTTGTGTGTGTGTTGTGTGTGTGTGTGTGTGTGTGTGTGTGTGTGTGTGTGTGTGTGTGTGTGTGTGTGTGTGTGTGTGTGGTGTGTCATGCGTGTCGTGCCATGGTGTGTGATACCGGAGGTGGTGGGGTTGGCCGGCGGGACCTCGCTGGCGGTCAGGATGTTCTTGGCGGCCAAGACCGTGGCCGAGGGGCGGTAGAGCAACCACGTGCTGAGGTAGTTCAGCAGCCCCTCCTTCTCCTTCTCCTTGTTGCTGCTGCTCGCGGGCATCGCCTGCGCAACTGCGCTCACCGAGAAGGCCTCCACCGGCGCCGACTCCTCGTCCTGCACCATCGCGCGGCTGCTCGAGACGCGGTCGTCCGCCGACTCAGTCGTGATCGTGGGAATGCCGCCGCCGCCTCTCAGCGTGGCTGTGGCGGTGGTCGTCCGTGACCGTGCCGCCGCTACCGCTGCCACCGCCTTCCCTGAGCGTGTCGCCGCTGGTCATCCGCCGCGAGATGCCGCGGCTCGAGTAGAGCTTGTCCTTGATGTCCTCCTGCCCCATGAGCCTGACCGGCAGCGGCATGTCGGGCAGCGGCGGCGCCGAAGCTTCGTTGTGGTGGTCGTCTTCATTGTCGTCGTCATCGTCGCCGTCTTCATGTTCGCTCATGTGCCGCAGGGTGCGCGACCGGCGCCAGGTGATGCCGGTGGTCGGGCCGTCGGTCGTGAGGCGCCGCGTGAGGGCGTGCGGTGCGGGCGCGTGGCTCCCGGAGCCCAACGACGCCAGGGCGTCGCTGCTGCGGGGCTTGGGCGGAAGCGGAGGCGGCATGCGGCGCGACGAGGTTGAAGTCGACGACGACGACGCGCTGGGCCTGGGCTGGAGGTAGTACTCGTCGCTCGCCCCGGTGGCCACCGTCGCAGCTCTCTCGCGGCTCTCGATGGGCGGCAGCTCCTCCGGCGGCGCGACGTCGGCGCTTCGCTGTCGCTGCAGCCGCTGCATGATTTGCTGGGCGATCTGCTGCTGCTGTTGCTGCTGATGTCCGGCGGACCCGGCTGCAGCCGGGCGCGGTGCGGGCTGCGGCAAGGGCGGCAGCGCGGGCGCTCGGTCGGCGACGACGCCGTACCCACCGCCGCTTCCTCCTCCTCCCCACTCCTCCCCGCCTTCCCATTCTCCACCACCTTCCTCCTACACGCGCACCGCACACGCGCGCCGCACGCACCGCACACGCACGCACCGCACACGCCACAAATAAGGATCGAAACGAGGAGAGAGGAACTAAGCGAAGGCCTTGGCGTACTTCGAAGGCCGTGGTACTATGATGGTGGGCCACCGGGCTTGGCCGAGGGTGCGGGCGGTGGCGGCTTGCTCGGCGGAGCGGACCCGAGGGGCTTGGGCGGGGGCTGGCCCCGTATGGCGTGCTGGCGCCACCGCTTCCTGTCCTCCCCTCCGCCTGAGCACAGTTCCTCCACTCAATCAATCTCTCTTGCCGTGTGCCACCACATCAAAAATCAAAAGACGGTCAAGGTACCTTGACTGTCTTGCTGTGCATCCATTGACGTGGTTGTGCGTCGTCTTGACGGGCTGGGAAGTGTGTTGCCCCACCTCTCGGCCATTTAATTTGTTGAATTACTTTAAATGAAAAGCAAACAGGGAAATACGAGGGAAATTACGCCAGGTGTTTGTTTGGTCTGGCTACAGGGGTCTCTTTTGCAGTTTGATGATACAGATTTCATCGCAGCGATAGAACGGATGAAACTCGTCCCAATCCAGCACCTGTTCCGCGTTAGCGTTGGTGGCAAGACGGTCAGTCACACTTGCGTGCGATGAGCGATTCTCTGCGCAGCGGAGGCTGAATGGGGAATGGGAGGGGGCAGACCTCAATGTCAAAGTGCTGGGCGGCCAGCTCCTCGAACTTGGAGTCGATGTCCCTGGAGCGGCCCTCGTGCGCGATCAGGATGACGGTCTTGGGCGAAGAGAGGATGTCGAGCGCGTTGATGAGCAGCGGCACGGCCTCCTCGGCGTAGATGATGTCCGACCCGACAATGAGATCAAAGGGCGGACTGTACTCCTCGTTGATGTCTGCGTGCGTGCGGCGCATTCCCCGCACTCCCACACGAGGCGCAACACGCAACACGACACGCAACACGATACGTGAGCGTCGCAAACACAAATAACAGAGACAAGAGATGGGCTGGAGGAGGAACGACGCACCCTGGGCCGATGAGCTCCAGTCCAGCTCGCCGGCGCGAATGTTGACGGGGCGCACGAGCGGGTCGTCGTCCGCAGGCGTCGCATCGTCCTCAACACCGGCGGCGTGGCTTCGACTTGTTCGGTAGCCGAAATTGCGATCGACGTTGGCTTCCATCACGTCCTGTTGGGTTGGATCAGCATCATCGCGACGCAGCGAGCTAGCGGTGGATTTCAAGGAGCGAGCGGGCGAGCGAACGTACGATTTGGTCGTACAGGTCGGTGAGGTGGACCTCCGCCCCGAGCCAGGCCAGCGCGATGCCCACTAGCCCGCATCCCGCACCCAACTCCACCGCCCGTAAGCCTGTGGTCACAGAGGCACAGACAGCGCTGTGGTTAGTCTGGCGTGTGTGGCGTGTGTGGCGTGTGTGGCGTGGCGGTTACCAGTAAAATCGAACCGCTCGCGAACGTGTTCGAAGTACTTCAGCAGCACAATGCTCTGAGGGACCGGTGAACAGTGTCAGGACGCTCCAGGGATTTGAGGAGGCTTGGTGGAGGCGAGGAGTCCGCACCGCATCCCAGAGGTAGCAGCCACAACCGCTGTCGAAGGTCTGCACGATCGCGAATCGACGACCGGCAAAGTCCACCCACGCCAGTTGGTCGTCCTCCTCGGACAGCAGGGTCGGCCACCGACTCTCGTTCTGCCTGCAAGTGGTAACATTTATTTTATTTTATTTTGGGAGCGAATTAATGAATAGATATTATATTTTTGTATTTGTGTGGCACAATAAATATAAATGAATTCATAAAATTCATAAAAAATAGCAATCCAGTAAATGAGTGGAGGCCAAGGGTAGTACTTCGCTAGGACGACCTCAACGTCGCCCAGCACGACCTTGGTCAGCCTGTTGCCGTCACGATATGGCAGCCACCGCGTCACCGACGTGCCTCGCTTCTTCCCCGGAGCCAGCATCTTGCGCAACGGAGCGTTGCATTTTTTTTTGATTATTTCTTTTTGATAGTTTCTTTTTGATAGTTTCTTTTTCTGGGCCACTTTCTCTTCTGTGCGGGTAACTTACACCTGCACGCGGAAGTGGACCGAAAGCAGGTACTTGTGATCGGGTTGAGCGAGGCGGTATGCACTCACGCGAAAGGGCAAGCACACCATATTTTGCATATTATCGTGAGTGGGCTTTTGCGAGTGGTCACTAAAAATGGCAACCAATCACAACCAAAGCCCAGTTTTTTATACCTTGGTTGGTAACTTTGTTTTTTTCCAAACCGACAACAACGTTGACGATGGAGGGCAGCACTAACCAGGATGCGAGGTGGCAAGAGGTCTCCCTTGGTGCAGGCGCATGGCCAGCGCCACGCCACGGCCACTCGGCAGTGGTGTGCCACCACAGTCCTGGCGGAGGCCCCGCCCTGTGCGTCTACGGCGGCTTCGGCGACGACGGTCGCCCCCTCGACGACCTCTTCCTCTTTGCCTTCCGTTCGTACCCCCCTACTTTTTGATCATTTATTTATTTATTATTAATTAAAAAAAACATTCATGAGAGAGACGAGGCGAACTGACCACTTATGTGGCTGGGGGCGCGAACGAACAGTGAAGGGCGAGTGGCGCGCGGTGAAGAAGGCCAAGGCGACGCCTGTGGGCCGTCACTCGCACACGGCAGTCGTCTGGCGCGACTCCATGTTCGTGTTTGGCGGCGCCACGGCCGATCCCACCGGTGTGCCCTCCGGCCAGCTGCTGGAGTTCAACTTCCGTACCCCTCTCCCTCCTTGATTGTCATCATCCATGATGATGATGCTGATGATGATGATGATGCTGATGATGCTGATGACGACGACGACGATGGTGGTGGTGATGACGATGATGATTACGCGTAATTGTGGGATGCAGGGAAGGCGGCTTGGTCGGAGGTGAAGACCAAGGGCGACCAACCAAAGCCTCGCTGGGGCCACTCGGCCGTGCTTGTCGTCGCTCCGCAGCACCAGCAGCAAGCGCCGCCACGGACGGGGAGGAGGACGGCGCGAGCATGTGGGTGTTTGGCGGATTCACCACGACAGGCGTCGATAACGATCTCTTCTGCTTTCACTTCCGTACGCGCGCACCTGATCAGCCCACGATCTACCAACGACATGACCACGACGGTGATGATGATGATGATGATGTTTGGGGGACTGCATGGTTCAGGCACGAAGACGTGGGAGCGGGTGAGCGCCGCCGGCGATGGAGCGGTGGAGGGACCATCCGCGAGGCACTTGCACTCGGCCGTGGTGAGTCCCGACGGGGAAAGCATGGTCGTGGTGGGCGGCTTCAGCGGGTCCGGGTCGGTCAATTTCGCCGACGCCTGGAGCTTCCACTTCGGTACCGTGTGGTCCTGACTCTGCCCGACACGCACGACACGCAACAGGGCGAGGATTGAAAGGTGGTGGTGGGCGAGGGTGCAGGCACAAGGAAGTGGCGCGAGCTGGAGGTGCCGGCCAGTTTCGCCGGGAGGCGCGGGCACAGGGCTGCAGTCGTTGAGCCAAGCACCGGCGGTGGCGTGATGGTGGTGCACGGTGGACGCGACAAGGCCGGTCCTCTCGCCGACCTGCACCTCTTCCGTTTCGGTACGTATGCCTGGGTGGGCGCACCTCTCAGAACTCTCTCACTTTGCTCGAGCACAAGTGACATTGTTGGCGCTGCTTGAACAACAGACGACGAGACGTGGAGCCATCACGAGGAACAAGGAACATCATCATCATCATCATCAATAGAAACAGAGGGGTGGCCTTCGGGCCGCTATTTCCACTCGCTCACACCATGGGCCGGCCGGCTCTGGGTACGGGTCTCTCTTTGTCTTGTTCGATTTGCCTCGCCATGATCGCGTTAGTTCACCATTATCGGGTGGTGGGAACCCAGATGTTTGGAGGTCTGGGCGTGGACGTGCGCAACAACGATGGGAAGCCGCACAACCTGTGCGAACTTTACCAGTTGTGCTGTCCCGCAATTATTGCAGGCACCGAGGGCGGCGAGGGCGCCTATTTCTACGATTTTGCTGCTGACGACAACGAAGACCTGACCGCTGGCGGCAAGGCGGCGAGGAGGACGAAGCGCGCGGTGGACTTCATCAACGTGCTTCCGGCCGAGATCTCCCTCCACATTCTGTCGTTCCTGCCCAGTGCCGACGTCGGCGCCACTTTGCCGCGTGTGAGCAAGGCTTGGCAACGGTACGCGCCCATCCACGCGAGTCGCTGGGGCATACTTCTCATGGACGTGGGCGCCATCACAACACAAGGTTTGTGGAGGACGATGCGCTCTGGCGCGATGCGGTCTCCACGTTCGTGCAGGATCTCGCCCAACGCAAGATCGGCCACGTCGACAGCAGCGCCCAGAAACAAAAGACCGGTTGCAAGGCGCAGCTGAAGCAGGCGCTCGAGAGCAACCCGTTCCATGATACGTGTTGATCGTTTTCGTTTTCGTTTTCGTTTTCGTTTTCGTTTTTTTCGTTTTTTTCGTTTTCGTTTTCGTTTTTTTCGTTCGCAAGCTGGCACGTGACTAACGCGTTGGCGTGGCGGTCACACGAGTGCGTTACGAAAGCCCAGTTCCCTACGATGACAAACGCGGCAAAAAAGACGCGGGGGAGATCAAGGCAGTGGTCATTGGTGCTGGTGCGTGGGCTGCTCTGCGTTCCTTCGGTGATGCATGCAAACGTGGGCCAACGCGCGTGTTTGCGGTTGTTGGTCGCTTGCAGGCGGAGTGGGCAAGTCGGCGTTGACCATCATGTTCATCCAGAATCACTTCATCGAGGAATACGACCCCACCATCGGTGCGCGTTGCGCCCCACCTATTAATTCACTCTTGCTCTCTGCTCCATTAGCCGCGACTTTGGTCTGACGCTTTTCCATCTCGACACAGAGGACAGCTACCGTAAGCAGTTCTTGGTCAATGTCTACGTCGTCCTCATGGTGCGCGCGCAGTTTGGTTTTGCTGGTTTTCGCACTTCTTTCTTTGGCCTAACCTGTGCGCGCGTGCATGCATGCCTGCGTCGTGTGTGCAGGACATCCTGGACACGGCGGGTCCGGAGGAGTTTTCGGCCATGCGTGAGCAGGTGCGTTGTGCGTGGCCAAGCCAAAAAAACTGGTGTGCGCTCTTGGCTCATGACACTTGAGCGCGCAGTGGGTTCGCACTGGCACCGCTTTCATGATGGTGTACTCTGTCACCAACAGAGCCAGCTTCGAAGAAAGTACGCCCCCTGATGCACCAGGGGCACAAGCCAATGGCAGCAGCTGCACACAATCACCAACTAATCACCATCATCCAAATCTCTCCACAGTTGAGCACCACCAGTGGGAACTCATCTTGCGGGTCAAGGACACGGAAACCTTCAGTGCCATCCTCGTCGGTACGCGCACGAGAGAGAAACGGCACATTGACACGCGCACTGACACACACACTGTACCCCCCCCGCGGCAGGCAATAAGAGTGATGTGGACACGCACCCGGTGTATGACTGGAACCGTAAAGCCGCCGAGCGCGAGATAACACACGCCGAGGGCGCCGCGTTGGCGCGCAAGCTGAGCGTGGCGTCAGGGCGCCCAGTGCCGTTCATCGAGACCAGCGCCAAGCTCAACATCAACGTCACCACTGCCTTTGCCGGTATCTCTCTTACACCATGCTCGGCCCTCACTGCTGGCCTCTCTCATCACACCTCTTTAACCATTGTGTGTGCCGTGTGTGTGTGTGTGTGTTGTGTATGTGGTGGGGGGGCGTGGTTCTAGGGCTGGCGTATATGGAACTGCAGAGGAAAGGCCTAGTTGGCCCGGCGAAGAGCAACAGCCAGGCACGTGCCAGAGAGAAGCCCACCAGGTGTTTGCTCTCCTGAGGCGATCAACCCACCCACCACCTCGATTAAATTCCAGTTTGAATCCCATGACATCAGAGTCGTTGCCTCTCTTATGAGAGTGCTAACACGATCAGTTAGGGTGTATTTCAGGCTATGCTGGTGTCTGTGACGGTGGTCAGGCGGTGTCAAGCGTAGTTATTGGGAGACATGACCAGAGCGGGAGACGTGAGAATGTGCCACTCGCAGAAGCCGTCGTCGCTCACGACTTCCCATGCTTGAAGCTTCTCGTACAGCTGCCTATTGTTGTGGCGCACGTACTCCACAACCTTGCTCCTCGCAACTCCTTGGCTGGTCGTGACGCCGGCCGCGACCAGGCCTTGGCTGATGGTGCCCAGAGCCTCCTGGGTCTTCGCCCTTACAGCGCCTTGGAGGACGAACTTGTTCATCGCCAGCTGGGTGCAGTCAATCATGAGGTTCAGGTCATCGCGCGAGTAGTGCGCCCTTGTTGTCAGCAACCTGGAGAAGATGTGGAGACTCTCCATGTCGAAGAGCGTCTTCGCGGTGGCCGCTTCTGGCACTATTTCAGCCATACCCCCAAGAATCCTCGCCTCGTCCTCCTCATCGACGTACGAGATGTGGCCTTCGGGTGTCGCCTTCTGGCACATGCGCAGGACCCAACCTCCCTCCTCCTCTCTCCCTTCGATCTCGCGATAGCGGAGCCACCATCCCCCGGGGCTCGCTCGAAGTAGAGCGAAGTCGGGCGTATCGTGGTAGGTCTCAGCGAGATGTTGGAGTTGCTGCTGCACACCCATCGCCAGCGCACGCTTGTGGAGTGCGGCGCATTGTGTCTCGTTACACAAGGGGAAGCGGTATCGCAGAGCAGCCCCTTCCTTCAGCGGCCGGCCCAAGTCCTCAGAGGGAAAGGGGGCACTGGTGGTGAAGCACAGCGCCCCGGCCTGGGGTGCAGCTTCGTGGTGCTGGGTGTGCATTGTTGGAGCTTCTGGTTGTGCCTCCTGGCTGTTCAGCGCTTTTTTAGGGCTTTACGAAAACACAACGAACGCCTGTTTCCTAGTATTTAAATAATTAAGCTGGTAGCACAGCCAAAAGTGGAGGCAATCACGAGAGGCTGTTGAAGGACTGGCGGAAGACCTTGCCCCACCGTGCCACCAGTAGGGCGGCCAGCTGCCGTCGTGCCTCGTCGTCGCCTTCGTCCGCCTCCTGCGCCAGCATCTTCATGCTCTCGCTGTCGATCTCCATCTCCGCCGCCCCACCCGCTCCTTGCAGAGCGCACAGTTCCTCCAGTCTGTGGTAGAGTCGTGATCAGAACAGATCTAGTGATCATCTATGCAGCTTCGCTAACGCGCTCTGCCTGGCGGACACACACGCACCACCGCATACAACACGCACACAACACGCGAACAAACGACACGACACATGGCACACCAAGAGGGGAGTGGTACTTTTTCTGGGCGAGTTCGTCGCCGTTCTTGGCGGCTTTCTTGTAGAGCCGCTTGGCCATTTCGAGGTCCTTGGACGTCGCACGTCCTTCGTAATACATGTCCGCCAGTGGTCGGAACGCTTTCGGGTACTCGTAGATCATCGCTTGCGTGTACCTGACGGCGGCGACCATCACACAACACACGTAATTGAGTGAACAACCACCACAGGACATGCGGCCCGCACGACACGAACACGGCATGACACACGACACGACACGACACGCACAGCACAGCACACACGCGAACACAATCCACGGGCTGCGTGCGGTGTTAATGGCGATGGGGTACCTGGCAAAAGCGAGGGCTTCGTCGCGCGGAACGAGTACGCCCTGGTCGTACAGAGCAGCCTCGGCGTAGAAGGCGCCCACTTGTCCCTGCGCCGCGGCCCGCACGAACCACTTGGCCGCCTTCTTGCCGTTCTGTTCCACTCCGATCCCTCGCGCGTACATCTTGCCGACCTGCATCCGCGTGACCGCACGAGGCTGTGAGTTGGTGGTGCGTGCGTGGGGCTCGCACCTGGCTGCCTGCGGTGTGGGGCGTACGCGATAGGCCGCCGTGACGTCTCCCGCATTGGCAGCGCGGGTGAAATGCTTGAACGCTTTCCTGTAATCGCGTCCCACTTCCTTTCCCTCGTAATACCTTCACACGACCGCACACGACCGCACACGACCGCACACGACACACACACACAAAGACCGCACAGGACACGCGGCCTGTTGGTCACATGAAACACGAGACCGCCACCTTTAACGCGAACCAACGTACAGGAGCCCGAGGCGATAGATAGCGTCGATGCTGCCGGCCTCGATCGCGCGCTTGAGCCAGGCGATGCCCTTCTCGGTGTTGCGTTCCACGCCGTCCCCGGTCAACAGCAGGTTGCCCAGATCGTACATGGCCTCCTTGTGGCCCTGCCCCGCCGCCCTCTCGCTCCAGTAGGACGACGCCTTCGTGTCCTAGAGTGACCCCCATCACGCACGGGGGAAGGTTGTCAGGCACCACTGGCACCAATGCGGGCCTTTGGTTGGGGGAAGAGCGAACCGGAGGAGTGAGGCGTGTGTAGACCTGGCTCAGGTAATACTGGCCCAATGCGGAGCCTGCAGCCGAGAAATATAAATAAATGTAAAAAACAAATAAATAAAAAGGCATAAATAGGAATTAGTATAAAAATAAAATAAATGAAACAAAATGATGCGTACCCTCTTCGGCCTTCTCGGTGAGGATGGGAAGGAGGGCGGCGGCGCTGTCGCCGATGATGTCGTTCATGGTGTCCGGCACGTCGTCGTAGCCCTTCTCCTCCGCCAGGAGCAGCCAACGGATGGCCTCCCTCAGATTCTTGGCCACACCTAGAACGTGCACGCACCCCGCTGGTGAGCGCAACAACAACAACCTCCCAACAAGGGTTTCGATACACCGACAACGCCGGCAACCAACGGGGAGAGGAAAGAAGTACCGAGCGCGTTGTTGTACATGACGCCCACATTGAACGCACAAACAGCATCGCCCTGTTCGGCACCCTTCAAGAACCTGTGACCGTTTAAAAAACAGTGTGTTACCACAAACCGCAGCAACCAGAAGCGGCCATCGCGCAGTTGTGAAAGATTCTTCCGAGGCAGCGTGGGCGTGTACCATTCGGCGGCTTTGCAGTAGTCTCGCTCGGTTTGATCGCCAAAAAAGTAGGTGGTGCCCAGGTGGAATTGGGCCTTGAGGTTGCCATGATTCCCGGCCTAACACACCCGCGTGCCACAAGTCCGCTGTCAGCCAGAGCCACTTGGGGGGAAAGTGTGTGTTGGTTGGGGGCGGGCAAGACCTGGCTGAGGAGGTGAATGGCTTGGTTGATGTCCGGTGCGATGCCATCGCCCTTGAGGTACATCACGCCCAGGTTGGCCTGCGCGGGGACGTTCCCCTGCTCCGCTGCCTTGGCATACCACACCCGCGCCTTCTCCATGTCTTTGGGCGTGCCCTGTTCAACATGTCCACACGTGTGCTAGGCTTAGAGCGCGAGTGCGAGTGCGAGTGCGAGCGAGCGGTGTACCTGTCCTCGCGCATAGCAACACCCAAGGTTGCACTGCGCCTCACCACTTCCCGCCTCCGCAGCCCGGGTGTACCTACAAGTTGACCCGTTGTAACAAATCATCAGCTACCGGGCCTCAAACACGCTGATAGAGGGGGCACACGCACCATTCGAAAGCCTTTTCGGGGTTCTGTTCGACGCCCCAGCCCTTGCTGTAGGCCTTCCCCACGGCGAACATGCCGTGCGAGTAGTGTTGGTCGGCGGCCTTGGAGTACCAGCGGAAGGCCAGGTCGTAGTTGCGGGCCACACCGCACCCGTACCGATAGCACCACCCCACATTGTACTGCAACCCCCAAACACTGGTTAGCCACCAATCAAGGCACGCAGATGACGTGGCACGGGCTGCGGTACCTGCGCGGCGGCAAGGCCGGCCTCGGCGGCCTTCATGAACCAGGAGAAGGCGGTCTCGGGGTTCTTCTCGGTGCCCTTGCCGTGCTTGAGGCACACGCCGTAGCGGTAGGACGCCTCCGTGTGGCCGGCCTCGGCCGCCCGCTTGTAGCAGTCGTGGGCCTCCTGCAGGTCCCCGTCTTCGGTCTTCTCGCACGTCAGGCCTCGCTGGAACAGCGCCTCCGCCTCCACCTGTGCTATTCTCTCGGCCGAGTCCGTCTGTGCGTGTGCGTGCCGTGTGCGTGTGCGTGTTGTGTGCGTCAGGTGCGTGCGACAAAGTTTAGGAAAATGCAACGGGTCAGTGGTGTGCGTACGTTGGTGGGCGTGGGCGTGGTAGTGGTGGTCGTGGCCTTGTCTGCCGGGGAGGCTAGCGAGCCCTCTGTGTCGCTCAGCGGGGCGCTCGGGTTCTCTGATGGTGCTGACGACGCTGTCGGCACGGATGACGATGTCGTCACCGACACGAAGGGCCACGGTGATGGGAACGAGCCGGGCACGGTCGGCACCACTAGCGACACGACGCCGCCGCCACCACTGACTAGGTCCCGCAGTGACATGCCCCTGGGAAGCAGCACCGCTTGCTTCTCCTCCGACATGCCTGTGTCGTGCTCGTTCTCGTAACTCGAGTTCTCTTCGCCGCCCCCAGTAGACGAGGCCTCCTTTTCACCGCGCGCCTCCTTGGGGTGTCGCTGGAGCAGCGCCAGCCACCCGTCGGCCTCGAGCTCCGCCGCACCCACCTTGGTCCCGCACTCCGCACATTCCAGCCTGCCGGCCGGCTCTGCAGACACTACAAATATTGATTTAATTTATTTCTCATTGATATAATAATCTATAACTAATAAGTAGCGCAAAAAAAGGGTACCCAAATAAACAATTTTTGAATTCTTTTAAATTCTGGTAATTTATAAAAGAAAGAAAGATGCTTTTGGGGGGGGGGTACCTTCAACGAGACCACCCGGTGCGGTGGAGCGAAAGGCGGAGGAGGCGCAGGCCAGACAAAAATGGTGGGCGCACGGCAGCTGTAGGCCCTCGTTTGTTGACTGCTTGCAGCCACCGCACGTGGCCACCTCCCGCGTCCGCTTCATTTCGTATTTCCTTGTTTCTGTGTTTGATTTATCTTCAAAAAGATATTTCTGATTTATCTTCTGTCGCTCCTCAACTTTGATGCGTTTTGAACGGAATTTGATTTTATTTTCAATTAGAGCCGTATTTATTGTTCTCTTTTTTTGTGGACCAATAAAGCGAGACTGTCGCACCTCTTCGAAGAAATGGCCGCTCAGAAGCCGGAGAGGTCGGTCTCGTAGCCGGCGGCTTCCTTGGGCGCCAGCTTTTCGATCCACGGGTGCGGGCAGGGTCGGGCGAAGCTCTCTGGCCGCGTTTCCTGGTAGTGCGCTGGACAGATCACACACGACACACGACACAGCAAGAGCTGAGAAAAAAGGAAACTGCAGCAGTGTGGCCTTGGCAGCTGGGGAGGTGTACCGATGATCTCGTGGATGGTGCTGGCCGAAACGGTCCCCAGCACGAGTCGATCGCCGTTTCGGGCCACCTTGAGCTGCATGCGGCCCTTCTCTCCGACAAAAGCCAGGACGTAGAAACCTGATTTGGGGACACATCGACGTAAGGTTCAGTAAGGTGGTGTTGGGAGGGGAAGGTGTGGCCACTCGTACCCGGTTCCGAGCTGAAGCGAGCGAGGAATGTGCCGGTGGGCTGGTTCAGCAGCTTGTCGTTGGTCTCCTCCCTCGAGATTGCCCCGTGGAACCAAGGCTGAGCGCATATGCCCTCCACCTGGGCAAACAGCAGTACGTAAGCTCCATAGGCCGGCTCGGCACAGGATTGAATCGCTCTGGTGTGCCGTACCCTATCGAGGAAGCTCTGCTTGTCCTTGTCGCTGGTCTTGAACGACCCGAACCACGACGTGAGCTCCGTCACCTTTTCCATTGACACCAGCCCGCGCGTGATCTCTGCAGAGGCCCATTGTTAATTGTTGCAGCACCCCCCTCTCTTCAGTTACACGGAAAGCGGGAGGTACCGAGCAAGGCGAGCACGATCTGCAGGCGCGGGTCGGCCTCGGTGGTACTCAGGTAGGAGGCCAGCCCAGACACGAACTTGACGACGGGGCAATAATACTGCGCGCGTGGCAACACGCCCGCATGAGCATCAACCCAGCAGTGCCACCGACGAAAGAGTGCAATGCATTTGGGGGGTGGGAGGTACCTCGAACGAGAAGACCGCGGCCCAGACCTCGCGTGCACCCTCATCGGGGATGAGAATGACGTTCAGTTCATCCACGATCTTCTGGAACGTGGGCCGCACACTCGGGTCATTGTCCCAGCACGCTGCGGAATGCACCAAACCATTGAGGAACAGAAGACGGGGTGAGAGGTGCGGTGTTCTTGTCGCGGTGTGTACCTTGCATGAGCGCGGCCAGTCGAGGCGGGCACGAGGCCGGAATCTTGGGGCGCACGCCGGAGCAGACGGCGTCCCTGATCTCCTGCCCGGTCATGTTTTCATCGTAGGGCGAATCGCGCGTGAAGAGCTCGTAGAGAACTGCGTGTTTTGCAAGACAAGGCGTTTTACACGGCCATAAGCGGGTGGCGCACACAAAGGGCGCGAAGCCGAACATACCAATAGAAAAGGAATAGACATCCGTCTTTTCGTTGTACTCCTCCTCCCGGAAGACCTCGGGCGCGATTGTGTAGGGCGTGCCTGTTGTGACGAGACGACACAGTGACGTCAGCGATCACAAACCAACCTCAACCCGACGGGCTCAGCGCGTTCGTTCGCACCTTTGAGTCCGTAGTGCCCCGAAGCGCCAGCCACGTTCCGCTTGACGTGCGTAAGGCCGAAATCGCATATCTTCAGATTGTAGTTGTTGTCCACGAGTACATTCGAGCTCTGTACGATGAGCGCCCGACCAGAGATATGAGTCAGAAACAACCTCCGCAGAAAAGAAGGCGCGAACATGGGTCTTTGCATGTACCTTGAGGTCGCGATGGATGAACACGGGCTTGGTGTTGTGAAGCCTAGGAATGAGTAGTACTCAGAGGTCAACATTGTTGTGAAGACGATCGTCAAGTGAATCCGAATCACACGCTACGTACCAGGTCATGGCGATGGCGAGATCGGTGGCCATCTTGATGCGCTGGAAGTAGCTCAGTTCGACAGTCTTGTCCTTGAGCAGATGCTCGAGGTCTCCACGCGGGAGGAACTCGGTCACCAGCTGGAGGGTGGTGCCATTAACAGTGAGCAAACAAGGTGCTGGCCCACCTCAACACAACTCAGCCAAGAAGGAGCAGGCAACACTCACCATCAGGTTGTCTCCGGTCGTGGAAGCACCCATGAACTGCACCACTGCGCAAGGAAATAGGGAGGTGAGCGAGGATGAAGCAACACCAAGGCGCGAGCCTGTGCGCACACTTACCCTTCGGGTGACGCAGCTGCTTCATGATGGCCACCTCTTGCCTAAAGTTGGCCAGCTCTGTTTGTGTGAGATCGCTCGCGCTGTACATGGTCGGGAGAGTGGTCAGCCAAACAAACCGCATCTTGACTCTGCCGGTTCAGGCTCAGCCGGCGGTTACCTGTGGTGCAACTTCTTCACCGCGACATCTTCCTGGTGCAGCTTGCCCTTCAGCACGACACCTGCGGGCGATGTGAAGAGTTGGCTCACGGTGAGCTGCACTCTCGCTCACCAAAATGGCGACTGGTGGTTGTGCGGCGAAGTACCCTGAGCACCCTTGCCCAGCTCGGCCAGAATGGTCAGCGCCGAGAGGTCAACTTCACAAGAGGCCAGCTCCTCTTCGGTGAAGATGTGCTCCTGAGGAAGAGAAGACAAGAGGTTTAAAAAAACAACAATATTTCCAATTAAATAAAATTTAAATATTCAACTAATTGGGAATAAGAAGGGGACGAACGGTGGACAGTTTGGGTTCGTTCAGGTTGAAGATATCGCCAGGCTGCACGACCTTCGTTTGCACCTGCTGCAGTGCATCCTTCTTGAAGTTCTTTATCAGGGCCAGCATCTTGTGTTCGTCTTCGTTCGCACAACAAAGAGAGTGGCCAGTGTTCGTGACCCACGGGAAATCCCATTTTCTCATATTTCCTTTCACGAAACCAAAAACAAAACAAAAGAAAATTGATGACGTCTCTTTGTTACTCTTTCTTCTTGACGGCAAAGAAGCTGGTGAGCGTCTTCATCCCTCGCTTGTCCACCTTCTCCAACCTGTCGGGTGGTGTTTGTAGGAGGAGGTGATGTGTCAGATAAGCGCACGCCGGCGTGGAAGGAAAGTTCGGATCTGGGGGGGAACGAACTTCTTCTGCGCCAGAGACTTCTGCGGCGTCTTGGGTTCGGCGGTCTTGGCCGCGCCTCCGTCATAGGCGTACTTGCTAATCTCGTCCTGCTCCCACTCGTAGACCTCCGCATTCCCACCAAAGCTGTGCTTCTCGGCAGCTGCATGTCATGCGACTCGATCAGTCAACATAGAAAGCTGCACGTTACCACACGCCACACGCATACCCGATTGGCCGGTGTTCTGCGCGAGGGCTGCAGACTTCTCTGTGGGAATGTGGACTGGCGGCAAGCTAACATGGAATGTGAGTGCTCATTGCCCAATACGAACAGCAGGATTTGGGCACCATGCACTTACCCATAGGCCTCGCACAGCTTCGTCTGCCAGTCGTTGTTGATGTAGTCAGATATGAATCCGATGGCGGCCTTTGTCAGTTCGGCTGCAGTAGAGGAAATATCCAAATTGAGCATGGTTCTCACGGCAGGGAGCAGAGCCTGCTGGTGACAGGCTGTTGGTGGTACCATCGGTCAGGGGAGTGGAGTCCCGGTAATTGGCAGCTCGGGCGCCGCCTCGCAGACTGCCTGCGAGGTCGGGGGATGCGGCCAGATGGGCCTTCATTTTGTGCACCTTCGCCTGTAGCCATTTCACCACCTTGCTGTTGTCCAATCGGTAGTAGATGCGCCCACCCCCCGCATCTGTTCAACAACAGCGCCACCAGGCGGAACGGCAGGGGTGGTCAGTGGGTGTGCGATCATTCCGAGGGTGAGACGAAGCCGCTAGGTACCTTTAGTGTCGCACACGAGCCCCAACGGAAGCGTGGGCCACTCGAGAAAGTGAGCATAGCCAGGGTAGGCCTCGAAGTCCTCGGTTAGGATTTGATCCTTCTCACAGAAGTAGCCTGCACTCTCGGATGTCTGACTCACAGGGAAAGGTGTGCACACGAGCGCATGGTGAGGACACCACATCAGCTAGCGAAGGTTGGGCGCAAGTGTGCGTGCGGTACCTGCTTTCGGTTCTTCTCCAAAAGAGGCACGAGCAGGAAGAGCGGGTCCACCTCCGTGGCAATGAACAGACTGCCATCTGCACATTGTACCACATGTCAAAGTGGGGAGTGTAGCACCAAGCACTATGTCATTGGCAAAATGTGGTGGTTGCCACCCACCTTTGTGCACGTAGTTGTCCTTGAACCAGCAGCGGTATCGCTCGGTCACCTTCTGTATCTCAAGGACCTGCCCCGACCGCACCATAAACCGGGCAGCAGCACCTGCGCTTCAAGCATGAGGTCAAGGAGAGGGCAAGCCCCGGGGGGGGGGGCGTACCCGTTCGCGGATGGGGCAGAGTTATGATTTTGAGATCTTGTTGACCCTCCGCATCTGCACATAAGAAGAGGTGGTCCATAAGGCAGAACGAAGGGCGCCGGTAGCAAGGGGTGGTACTTTGGGGCAGTATGAAGATTCGCTCTGCTTGTTTCATCTCTCAACGGTAAGACAAAAGAAAAACAAGTATAATTTATTTGTTTTATGCAAAATAAATAGAGCAAAAATGGCTGCATCAGCTCTTGCTGTCTCGAGGCATCTTCAAAACTTCTGCTTGCCGGTGATGATGTTGTACCACATCTGGAAGTCGCCCATCTGCCCACCAAAACACGAGGAAAGATTAATTTGATAATTGAAGCGCTAAAATTGGCAGTCAATCGTACGAGCGAGTAGAAAGGGTGCTTGAAAGTGGCGGGCTTGTTCTTCTCAATGAAGAAGTGACCAACCTACATTCACGTGTTAGCAACGAACTGCAAGTCGAACAGTAGATGAAATACATGAATTGCAGTTTGTCAATTGTTTTGGCGTGTAGTACCCAGGCGAAGCCGTAGCCCAAGACGAAGGGAGCGAAGAGGAACTTGTAGAGGCCGAGGAAGGTGAGGATAGCCAGCGAGAGCAGAGCCAGACTGGTGCCGATGAAGTGCAAGCGGCGATT